ACACATACACATACACATACACATACACATACACACACACACACACACACACACACACACACACACGCACACACACCACACACACACACACACACACATATATAATATATATATATATATATATATAATATATATATATATATATAATATATATATAAATAATATATATATAAATATATATATATAATATATATATATATATATATACACATATACATACATATATATATATATACATATATATATATATATATATATATATATATATATATATATATACATATATGTGTGTGTATGTGTTAGTTTGTGTGTTGCTATTATTATTTCCATTATTACTATTATTATTTCCATCATTGTTATTATCATTATTACAATTATTATCATTATTTTAATTAGTATTATCACTACCAATATTATTATTGTAACCAGTATTATCATCATCTTTATTGTTGTTACGATTATTACTATCATTATTGCTATTAATATCATTATCATTGTCATCATTTTTATCAAAAGCAAATTCATTCTAAGCCATATTCAAGTACAGTCAAACCGAACATGAATACAATACGTGAAATTATAGGAAAAAATGTGAAAAAGAAAGAAAGAAAAAGCATCTCAGAGTTACTGTGAACAACAAACAGGTTACTTTGCCTTGTACATTGCTTCTCATTGAGAAATCTTCATTAGATCATTCTTTGTGCGATTACACTTTGGCCTCTGATGTCATCTTCTCGGATAATATAATAACAAATGATAAGGGTAATAATAATAACGAAACAGCTGCAAATAAGGAGAATGTTAATGACATTTAAAGAATAAGAAAAATAGTGATGATGATAACAGCAGCAATAACAACAAATGATAATAATATATACAATAATAATAATAATAATAATTGATAATAATAGAAAATAATAACAACAATAATAACAATGAAAACAATTACAATAGTAATAATAAACATAATAATGATAACAATAATATTAACAATACTATTTTTTATGTCAGAAGAGAATAAATATAAAACAGATAAAGTTCATGTGTTCAGGACCCGAACACACCTTTAAACTCAACACCTCAGATACGAAATAACACAGAGCTGCAATTGTCTCCACATCTCACTCGCCTCTTACGCAACTTCCTGGACGACAGAATGGTCAATATCCGCCTGGGGTCTTATTTACCCCCCCCCCCCTCACCACCACCAGGTCAGAAGTGGAGTCCCATAGGGCAGTGTTCTTTCACCAACACTTTACACTTTACACTGCCTCCTTACCACCCCCAGCACCCTACAGCAACTACACTGCATACGGAGACATAAAATTAATAATTTCACACCCCTCCAAGTTCAAAAACACTATGAAAGCAGCCAACAAACAAATAAACACAATCAACACACACGAAAACAAATGTAAGATGCAGACAAACACAAACAAATTCACAACCATACCAGGGGCACGACGCAATCCACCTCCAATTACAATAAACAACAGGGACACACCCTACGCAAACACAGGAAACATGTTAGGCTTACACTTCAGTAGAAACGGTATCCCCCCCCCCCCCCCCCCACACACACACACACACACAACACAGAATACACCAAGCACGCACAGCTCTCAACAAACTCAGACGTTTCGCATACTGCACGCCACAAACTAAACTCAAACTCTACAAAACCACCATAAGCCCCATGCTCGAGTATATGCCCATACCGCTGACTGCACTCTCTACATCACAAAAACACAAGATGTAATCTATACTGAACAAAGCACTATACTGGAGAAACACCACAATACAAGACAGAATACGACGTGGAATCACCGCGCAATCACTATACCAAACATAACACATAGATACGCTGAACATAAGCATACACACACTAAGCACGCGAGCCTGGAACCGCATACAACATATAAACAACAAAAACTAAGACCATACAAACAAACACAACACACACAAACAAATCCCCCTTGGTGGCCCAGGACTCTCCCGCTTGTCAATGGAGATCCCCCTGAACCTCTACATGCAAAACAACAACGCATGGGCGGGGAAAAGCCTTAACTCGTACACATGGTGTCCGAGCCGAAGGACTTACCCCCCCCCCCCACCCCCACCCCCACCTTCGCACTGTATATATGTATGATGTATTCTATTCTTTACTTTGTTTTCTTTGCAATTATTTTTTTACGAAATTCAAGCACACCCTCAGCCACATCTCGCATTCTGGGCAGGGGAGGGGCCTCCGGACTGACCACGCCCACTTCGTGCGTGTGCTCGGGTCGGAAGGATGATTTCCACGCTCAGAAAAAATCACTTCATCGCACTGAGCATGATGAGCCTCATACCTGGGCGAGACAAGGACCCCCGAGCATTGCACACACGCAGCAGGGAATGTTTTCCACGCCTGAACGGTAGCCATCATGCCACACGTCACCGCATTACGTCATAACATCACATGTCACGCTCCGTTTGTTTATCGTTTTGCCTTGAATTG